TTTGTAATGGAATGTGATTAGATTATTGTTTAGAATCAATTAAGGGATCATAAAATTTAGTTACGTTTTCATTTTGAGTCTTTCCAATCAACTCCATTTTTATTCGATAACCTTGTATTTTAATTCTAGAATAATTTATTATTTGGATTATTTCTTGAAATATGATATTGATGGTTGTCCATCATTATGTGATTAGATTTCTCGGAGTCGGCGACTTTTTCACGACCACCTTGATCCATTCAAATTTGTTCGATCCGTCATTTATATTGTGAGTGGATATTATATAACACGTTGAGTTTTACATTCCCTTGATTGTATTCATTATGCATCATTAATTCAAGAATGATTTAGAAGCATTCTAGTAGAATTTAGATGAGAACAAACATCATAATATTTGAAATGTTTTCATATCAAATCATTTTGATATGAATGGAAAAAGAGATTTGAATATGTTTGACAAATGTGTTACCGAAATTGATATGTGATCTTGAATTTGAATAAATGTGTTATATGTTATTTTGAGTATCCATATAATTTCTAAAAATGGATGCATGGTATTTAAAGTACCGATTTGAAAAATGTATAAGTATGTTTGGTTTTCAAAAATGTTTTTGAGGTCCTGGGGAACCTAGCTATGGGGAGCTTACCTTTTGAGCTTAATGATATGAGGCTCCAGCTAATAGAAGATGTAGAGTGGTAGTTTATGTTTCTGCTAACATATGAAACCTAGTCACGAAAGGCATGAGTTTTGAGTGTTCACATCCAATGATACGTTGTTATCCAACAAGTGTATAAAACCTATATATGTGATTGCATATGACTACAATATATATATATATATATATATATATATATATATATATATATATATATATATATATATGATTCGATGATTTGATACGAATGGTTTTGAACCATTTAAACTATGATATATGATGTGATTGTTTGACATACATGGGTTTTAAAGAAACTAGTATAAGCATATTAAGTTAAATTTGAAAGTATCGTCCTTAGTCCGTTTTTCTCCCTTAGTATGTTATATAACGTTGACTCGGTGAGCTTTTGATTGTTCACTCATTATTTCAATTTTGTAGGATATTGAGGATTACCTATTGCTTCTTTTGGCTACTTGTTTGAAGTCGACACATTGACCGTGTGGCTTATTTCCTTATAAAACTTCTTAGAACCTATGTTGGATTGTTGTATTTTAAGAACTCTGCAGTTATAGCTATGAGTGTTATGTTAGAAATTAACTATGAATATTGATTCTGGATATTGAAATGAGAATAAAATTAAATTATGAATTGTATTAAGGTTCTAATAAATATTTATTAAGTTGAGTTAATGTTAATTGAAATGATCTGTGAAGTGATATTGATTTAAGGACTATAGAATAAATCGATGATGATTTGAGGATTTTAGTTTAATATCCAAGGCTTGCTTGGGTCAAGATGGACCTCACGATCTCCCCGATTCTCACACCGACCATGACTAACTTCTAGAGCCATGACAACTCATAACACTATCTATTTTCTATTAATTTTTAATATTCTAAAATTATTTTTCAAATAAAATAATTGAAATAATAGTTTAGAAGGATCACCTAATAATTCAAATAATTTTTTTATACTAATATTATATTATTTTATAAATAAATATATATAAATCAAATATACATATTTTTAAAAAGTTAAAATAAATATTAAGACATTAATTTAATTTTTATACAAGTTTTTATACTCATTGTTTTATTTTTTTCAATGCAACCTTCTAATATTTATATTATTATAGGTTTTTATTTAAAAAAAATACATAACAAAAAACAAATTGTGTTTTTTTTAATAATAAAATTTATGAAAAACATAAAAAGAAAAATGAAATACAAAATGTTAATATATATTATAAAATTAAATGATATTTTATTTTTTTATCTTTAATTTAATATATTTTAATTACCGCACGCACGCTCCACAAACAATCAAAATCATATATGGATCTTAAAAGCAAAGTTTAAATCTTGAAAGTATCTGATCTAGTCACTTCTATTTAGAATCAACATAGTGCAATGCTACTCTTACATGTCAGGACATCGTGTTCCTATCCCTAACAATTTACTTTGGTCCAAACAAAGCTGTCTTCAGTTACATTTAGGCATGATTAGTGCCTTGAGAAGACACGACATTCAGCATCTACATGGCTTCTCAAGTCTCAAGTCTCTGATCATGCACGCATCGACTGATGAGAAAATACCTGTCAAGGCAAAAATAATAATATATATATATGTTAAGAAAAAACACTTGGAACTTCTAAATCTGTTTCCCCATTTTTATCAAACTAATGTTACTGCATTTCGTACCTACAAAACAAGCAATACTGGAACCAAATCAGTTCTCTGCCAGGCAACTTTGCATACCTCGAATTTGATTTACACGCTTTCTTATGCTGCAAATTCATCTGAAATTGAATTCGGCATCCCATGTATGATTAAAAGGAAGTGAGGCTTCACGACCCCATCAGATCAGAACATGAAGTCACTGAGTTGAACACATTTCTTCTTATTGGCATTCTTATCAATGATATATGCTCTGTCCTCAACATCTGCATTCGCGCAATTCATCCTATGCCTTCAGTAAAAAAAAAAAAAAAGCAATGAGTAACTTCACTAGGTAAATGAGAAATACCTGGAACATAATTAATGTCAGGTAATGTCAATAGACTCACCATTCAAAGTGATCTTCACAGCAAATAGAGCCTGAGATAATGGAAAGTCCAGTTCCCTTCCTGCAATCAACGCATGCAAGTAACTAATCTACCAACATAAACAAACGAGGACTTTGACCCTGGAAATTTTCTAGAAAGCGGCCATGCCACCAAAAAACCTGGAAATCTTGATTTGAAAAAAATGAGGGGGCTAAAACAAATCTAAATTGTACATTTATTTTCAGAGAATCCTCTCCTTACATGTCCAAGAAAAGTAACTTAGAACCTTTCAGCCCCCAAGGAAAATAACACCAGAAGATGTTAACATGGATAATAAAAAATCTGAAAACAATTCCAGGAATATAGATACATACCAAGTCGCAGTACACATATCATAGAACTTGTCAAAGGCTTTATTGAAACAGTGGTGGCAAACCAAAAGATCCCTGATGCTAGTCACCTTGCATGTTGATTTGCAGCATTTGACCTGCATCAGTTAACTGGCATTGTTAAGCAAAACATCAGTATTTCTTTCTCTTTCTTTTCCACCACACGAGCATGCACAAGCTTGTTGAACACACATTATTGCACACAGATATCATTGATGGCTCACTCTATTCTGAACAGTAAGCCAAGTTGAACAGACCATAAACTGTAAATTATGTAAAACAGTTGAAAGTAAATTACCAAACGCTTTAGTTTATGAGAGTAATATTGCTGATGGGATGGTTGTGTCCTTATATGCTCATGCAAATGGCCTGCACTGAAATTCACAAATCTATAAGCAGAGCTCAGGAAGAAAAATCAAACAAATTAATTTTGCTAATAAAAGCAAACAATCAAACCAAGTATCATAAAGCATGGCATCCATAGTACTGGTGCTCCCAAGGAGTCCGTTCAACCAAGTACTCCAACTCTCACCCTTAGATTTTGGACAGACAAAGAAATGACATCAAACCACCCTCTCTGCTTCATCTCATAGACTGCAGCCACCATTCCCAATTTTCACTCATTGACTAGCAAGGAACACAGACACAACTAAATCTAAGCCAAAGTAATTAAGTTATAACCACCTATGCAAGAGATAGCAAAAAATTGTAAACGCAAGAGATAAAATAAGGAAAACCCAAGAGTTCAGCAAACAGATTATGTATACTCCTTAAGTTTGTGTGATCAGTTGTTATTCATAAATGTGCAAAAAGAGGGGAAAAAAATGATAATATGACATCAGTTCAGTCATACAACACGAGTGATACAGATGGGAGCTGCGAATCAAGTAATGCAGAAATCATTGGACAACGCATAACACTCTGACCTAAGACTTATAACATCCAAACAATAAGATACTTTGTGCTTACTTGTCACAGAGGACCATACTGCAATGTAGGCATGTTGCCAAACTTAGCGAGCTGCGGCAGGTATTGCAGTTTGCTCCAGACAGACTTTTACCAATCTCGTGACATCTGCAGAAGAGACTGGGAGTTAGCTATGAATTCCTCAAATGTAAAAAAGAAAAATATATATTTCTTCCTTAGCCCTTTATTCACGTGTAGATTTCAAATGAAGAAATCATTAGAAAGACATGGATCAAACTGATTGTAGCTAACTAATTCCACTTAACTGAATCTCTAATTCATGATATAGTGGTCAGCATAAATAAAATTCAGAACATGATTATTGTAATAGACATAATTATAATGGACAGTTATTTACATGTTACAGTTTATTGCAAAATGTGATCGGTAAATCCACCATGCACCTTACTAATCAATGCATAGGAAAATCCATTTTTATTTCAAGAAAGCATCTGATTTGAACCATACACTAGCAAAAATCATATTCCTAAATCTCAAATACCCTCATTGGCTCATCTATATCAATCTAAAATAGCATAACTTAACATACAATTTTGGGGTAAACACCATTTTTCTCAACTTCTCTTGAATGTGCCAATAACTAACAGCTGAAAAGCATGGCTTCCTCCTTTTTTGTTCAGTGTATTTATTACCTCCTTGAAGACTTATAACCATTTAATTCTAACCTCGTAAAGTGTACACATTGAACAGATCTAGTCCATATTGCATGACATTGAAAAAAAAAAAAGCTGCTTTTTACAAGGGCATCAAGTTGCTAACCACCAGTAGATTAGTCACCACAAAAGTAGCAAATTTTTCTTACATACTCACATGATAAGTGAACTTACAGCTGTTCCTAATGCCAACTTACCAATTTACCCTCATATAATGGCAAAGCCTTTTAGAAATAATGGTACTGCAATGAAAATAGAATAATACAATAAGCTAAGAGAAAATGCATTTTACAGACCTTCTGTAAAGCCCACGCAGGTCTCTGGATATGGAATCAAAGTTCTCCACTGCCACCTTCATGATAAGGTAACTTTGATAAGTTTACATTGTTAAGATAGCTAACTCAAGGCACAAAGAGGTGCAAGTTTTTTGTTAATATCAAGAGAAAAATAATAACAAACCTTATTAGATGTTGTCACCAAACAGTCTTCAGGAAGGTGCCCAGGCCTCTGACATTTCCAACTACAATGGCAGGTTCATATGTAAAACAAACAAACAGATATCCAAATGAGCAGGATGCATGTGTTTTCACAAGAGTTTGTCAACAGCAACAAGGGGATTTTTTTTTCCTTTTGTCTTTCTGTTTCTTTCTTTCTTTCTTGGGTAGAAAATAACAAAATTCGTTTGGTGTTGTTGTGGCTGCTGTGGTTCAAGCCAGTTTTTCATGGCTACAATGTCAAAAGGAGTAAAAAACGGAGGTGGCTAAAGTGTTAAATATTTGTTCCTCGTAGCATGGTCTCGTTTGTCATGTCATTCTCACTACTTGCAGAAAAAAAACACTTACCAATATGGCACATAACTAATACACATGGCAGTGGAAAAAAGAAACATACCATTCGTATGTACAAAGACTAGATCTCTTCTTGGTCCAGCGATGGTGATTATAGTCCCACGTGTCCTCTCCAAGCTTTGGCATTGGCAAAGCACATTTAAATCCTGATGAAGAGACATTAGGCTGTAGATTGCTTGCTGGACCCTGATTATGCATAAAAAAATGAGTTAAAAGTTAGTAAATCAATAAGAGTTTAGACACCCTTTAACATTGCAATAAAATTGAGACTGCAAAAACACCTTAGCAAGTTCGAGACTTTGCAGAAGTTCAGCTTTGCATTCCAGGCTGCAGATATCATCATCGGTCTATGAAGGAAGACACATCTATGATGTCATTAACTATATGGAAAAGCAGCATATCAAGACAAGAAATAAATGCAAAAACTAATATGGTTCGCATATCTTACCTCATTGCAAATATATTCTCCATATTTTCCACACAACACACAAGCAGGCTCTCCTGGGAGGGGATACCGCTGCTCACTTCTAGACTTCACTCGATCAACTTCATTTGGATGACCTAAGAACAGAGGAAAAAAATTGCAAAACAGTTCAGCATTGACAAAAACGTACTAAAATCTTCTTGATTTAGTACCTCCTTCAAACTGTTTGATCAATCAGAAAATTTCAACAATTGAGAAAGATACTGGAATCTAACCAAGCGAATCAGAATGCCAAACTAATTTACCAATTATTCAAAGACAAAATCAGTCCAGATAATAACAGACTAACCAGAATGCAAGCTATCCTGACCAGAACCTGAGGGATCCTCCTCTTCAGATTCCGAAGAATCAATTTCATCCTCTGAGGCTTTTATGAACAAAATAAATTAAATCCACACGAGCCACAAGCAATTAAATAGCTGAGCTAAATAGCGTGATTTACCAAATTATAAAAATGAAGATCCCTATAAAAATGCTTACTTCCATAATTTACCAAATTTAAAACAGAGCTCGTATTTCCCTGCTACAAACAAGCACAAACCAGTAAGTACGATAAAGAATATATATATATATAAACTAAAAGAATGGTAAATTACCACTAGGACATCAGCAGTTAATTTTTCATAAGACGGATTAGATGAGCTAGCTTCTTTCCTGTTCGATTAAAAAAATACTTTAATCATAATCATAATCAGATTGAAATGAATTAAGTTAAGTTACAAACAAACAAACAAACAAAATTACCTTCTCTTATTTATGTAATCCAGGTGAGACATCGGTCCGTCATTCTCTTCAATTTCATTGCCGTGCTTAGTGTGCTGTGGATTTTTCTGAATACGTTGTCGTTTGCGGCGGGCAATTTTGATGTCGCCGTGAGGTTGTTGCTCTTCTTCTTCTTCAGTTAAAGGAGCATTACCAGTGGCGATTTTATAAGCTTTTAGGTTCTGAAGAGCAGAAGAGAGATTTAAGTCTTTTTTGTAAGAGAGCGAAGGGGTTTTGTAGAAATTCGTTCTCGTTCCCATTTTGTTTCTGTTTTTCGCAAACGAAGGGAGGAGAAGTGCAATTTTTTATTTCTGGAAGCCAAATCGATCGATTTAATAAGACACTTGTCCCCTTTTTTTTTTTTTTTTTCTTTTTTTTGGTTTCGGTTTCACACACACACACACACACACACACACACACACACACACACACACACACACACACACACACACACACACACAAGGTCATTTACATAGAATTGAAAGATTTATGAAAATTGTACTTTTCAAAGTAAATTATAGTTCTTAATATTCAAGGACTCATCTTGTAAGAAAAAGAAGGATGTTGATTTCTCATATTTGCTTTACGGTTGAAACCAATGCAACAACATTGACATTATACCTATGGAATTAGTTTGCAAAATATACAAGCTCGCAACAAAATTTACGATGGGTATTAAAACACATAGCCCCGCTCGATAAATGCCGAATACTTTAACTACCGATGGCATATTTTGTAACCTTTCCTTCGACTACATCTTCGAACATTCACCAAATCTAGATCCTATAGTTGACCATCTTTAATCCTCTATCTCATTTAGTGGTTATAACCTCATTGCACCAAACATCATATCATAGTCTCCTCTTAGTACAACCTCCAATTATAACCTTTCCATGTACTTAATAATTTAGACTTGCATAGTTACTTAGTGTCTTTCGATTTAAAACATCCATAATGTATTTACTTTATCGGGTGGTAGTGAAAAATAATATTATGATCATTTAACACCTCAAGCCACCTCATTTGTCTCATGTTTAACTCTTTTTGGGTAAAGATGTACCGGAGGCTTTTGTGGTTGGTATAAACATCACACTTAACCCCCATATAAGTAGTGCCTTTAAATCTTTAAAGTAAAAATCACAACGACTAACTCTAGATCATAAGTGGGATAGTTATTCTTATAGTCTTTTAATTATCTAGATGCATAGGTAATGAATCTCCTATATTGCATCAAAACTGTATCCAATCTAATTTATGATGTATCAATATAGACTACGAAGTCTTCACCATCCTCCGGTAGAGCTAAAACAACCGTTGTAGTCAACCTAAAATTTAGCTCTTGAAAAATTCTTTCACAATCATCATCCTACTCAAACTTAGCATTCTTCCTTGTTAGTTTAGTCAATAATGCAACTATCTTAGAAAATCCTTCCATAAATTTTCTATAGGACCTTGCCATGCTAAGGAAAATCCTCACTTCGATAATTTTTTGGTCGCTTCCATTCTTACAAGTACTTGTACTTTGCTAAGATCAACCATAACCCCTTCCTTGGAAATAATATATCCGAGGAATACTACTTGCTCGAGGTAAAATGCACACTTCTTAAGCTTAGCATACAATTGGTGCTTTTGTAAGGTTTGTAGTGCCTTAGCTAGATGATCTACATGTTCATCATGAGTCTTAGAACATATGAGGATATCATCAATTAAAACTATGATAAAATTATCCAAATACTCATAGAATACTCGATTCATCAAGTCTATGAACATGACCGATGCATTGGTTAACTTGAATGGCATTAAAAGGCACTCATAAGTGGCAATTTCAATTTTTGAATGTCGTCTTTTTAATGCATATTCCTTGATCCTCAATCGATAATACCCGATCGTAAGTCAATCTTAGAGAATGCTAAACTTCCCCAACCGGTCAAACAAATCATCAATGTGAGGAAGTTGGTACTTTTTCTTAATGGTCACTCGATTCGAGTCTCGATAATCAATGCATAACCGAAGTGACCCATCTTTTTCTTAACAAACGAGTACTAGTATTTCTCATAGAGAACAACTAGGTTGGATAGGGCCTTTATCCAATAAGCTCTTGTAACTCGAACCTTTAAATTCTTCAATTACGTTAGATCTATTCTATATGGTGCCTTTGATATGGGTTTTATTCTCGGTTCTAGTTTAATCTTAAAATCAATTTCTCTTTTATACATAATCCTAATAAATTATTAGGAAATACATCGGAGAAGTCCCTCACTACCTCAATATCTTCCAATCTTAAGCTCTCATCCTCAACGGTGTCAACTATACTCGACTAGGTATCATGAACATCCCTCATGCATTAATTTTTAGGTCATCGTTGTTGAGATAATGTTCATTAGTGCAACTTTAGTCTCAACTCATAACTCAAAAGGTCGTTCTTTCAACCTTTGGAAAACTACCCTTCTTCCCACATAATAAATGAATGTAAAATTCTTAGGCAAGCAATCCATGCTTAAGATGGCATCAAAGTCCCAAGTCCTTAAAATCACTAAGTCCATATGCAAAACATCATTTCTAATTTGCACCTCAAAATCCTTCACCATTTGGCGGGACTCAACTAACTCTCATGATAAAAGAGCCACTTTATATATTACCTCTAGTAATTTAGGTATCACACCTAATCTCCTTAAAAATGTCCATACAATGAATGAATATATGACACTTAAATCTATTAGTGTATATGCGGTAAGATTTTGGATAAGAAAATTACCATAAATAACTTTTTCCTCTTCCTTGTCCGCCTTATCCGCTCGCTCCCGAGTCATGTTGTAGAATTATCCGAAGTCCTTTATTCAGGCATTGCATTCTTCTTTGGACAATCTATTGCCAAATATCCAGCCTCTCTATAGAAGTAACATACATTAGTGGCAATCAAATAGTTATCAATATGGGAATGACCATAATTTAGACAACTTGGCTTACCCCCTAATTCATTCCGTGGTGATAGAGCAAAAGCTTTAGCCTTCTTATCATTTCCTCTTACATTTCCTTGCCAAGGACTTATAAATGATCTCCTCTTTCCCAGTAGGCTAGTCGGCCTATTAGGAATATTGGGCCTCCTTATCGGTGGGAACTAGACCCGCTTCTTTTGATTCGACTCAATTTGGAGGGCTTAACCGATCATCTCCGAATAGCTATCGGTCGACATTTGTACAAGACTGCGAATCTCAACCCTAAATACTCAAAGTAAGTGTTCCTTCTTCTATTCTTCATTGCTGAAAATGAAAGTGAAAAGCAACAACCATGATTAAATTATCGGATATACTCTACCACCGTCATATCTTCTTACTCAAATTTTAAAAACTCTTAAATCTTTTGGGACTTCACATTGTTAGAGAAGTATTTTTCATTAAACGCTTCCTTAAATCGTGCCCATATGAGGTGCGGCACATCTAGGGTGACTTTCACTAACTCCCACCATATGCATACATCACCCACTAACATAAAAGTAGCACAAGCTACTCTATCAACATTCTCTAATGCCAAGTGCTCAAAAACTATCCGCATGGAATCGAGCCATTCCCTAGCAATTATTGGATCCAACTTGCCTTTGAACTCCTTCGATTAAACTTTTGAAAACATTAAACTATGTCTCGCTCATTATGGTGATCTACCCACTTTTGGATTCTATTACTCGCTATCGTCGTACCTTTATCATGCTTTACATATTTTGCATCATGTCTTACTCGTCGTCTAAGAAACACCATGAGTTATTCCTCCCTATCCACAACATACCTACTCGGACTCGTTTCGCTATGATTATTGTTATTTCTCCTTATATATGGCATTCTCAATAACTACATATATATAATCACACACCTAGTTAGTTCCTCTTTCCTTAACTACTTAATACTCATTCAACTATATCACATTCACACTCTTATTCATGTCTCATATGTCATAGCATTCTCATATCATTACATGTCATTGAAATAATGACCAAACACCATTCAAACTATATTCATGCATTTCACATTGAGTTAACTAACATTCATTACATTTTCCTATAGGTTTGAAGTGATTAAGCTAGCTTGGAAACAAAGTCACAAGAAACTTAGGAAAAACACATAGCTATTTGGAATTCTTAAAAGCAAGTCACATGGACGGAATACATTTGCACAATTTGAAGCGCATTTGGGACACACCTGTCTTGTCTACTAAAGAAGTTCCATTCAAAAGAGAAGTGTGGTACACGGGTAGTAGCCCTTTACATGGTTTAATGTTCAATTTGGGGTATGGTCTTGTGTGTTTCAATGGAGAAACACTTATTCAAGGAAAGAAAGAGAGACATGGATAAATACTTTTGCATGACTTGAAGAACAAATCACACCCACCTATGTTTGCTTATTCCGAAATTTCATCCAAAAAAAGAAATGTGGCACACGAGCAAAAGCTCTTCATATGATTTGATGTTCATTTTGGACATGGCCATATGTACTTTATTAAAGAAATATTATTCAAAGAATGAAGGATGGACATGGGAGGAATTGATTTAAATGATTTGGAGAACAAAATCTCACATGTTTGTGATTGTCTATTAATGAAGCATACCATTTTAAAAGGGAAATGGAGCGCACAACCAATATTGATCCACATAGTTTGGACGAAAATTCTAACATGGTCGTGTGTCTCAAAGAAAAAAGCCATTCTAATGGAAATACAATCACACAATCAGAATATATTAACACGGTTTAAAGAACAAAATGCTACATGGCCATGCATTTTCCTTAGGAAATAATTGCCATGCAAAAGAAAATGGGGCACACCACCGGTTTAGACTCGGACGAGTTTGAATAGAAATTGTTAACGGTCGTCTACGTGAATTGAAATGTATATATTTAAGAGAAAAGTAAGCTAGGCTTATATATTAATTTAAAATATATTCCATTCAAATGAATGAATGGAAGACGGCTTAAAGAGCATTTTTCATATGGCCATGTCTTATACTTTAATGCAATCTCACCATTTATAAAAAAAAATGGACACACGACTTGGAAAGAACGTCACACGGCCATGTTTTATACTTTAAGGCAAAGTGGAACACTCGGTCATGTACGTAAATCAAATATTACATGTATATCATTTAAACATGAAATAAGGCACACGGGTAGTATAGTTTGGCATAGCTTGGAAGAGAAAAATGTCATGCTCGTGTGTTATGCATCCTTAACCAATCCCATGCTTTCAACTAATACTTTCCTCTTCACTTTTCTTTAAGCATATATCCTGTAATAACCATTTAATTTCCAATAACATTTCCTATTCACATGTCCTTAATAACATTCCATGCAAACATATCCCATATTATCTTTAATATCATTCCATGTAAGGTGACAATTCCACCCCTTTCATTCAATATTCCCTTTTCATTCACTTTCCATAACATAACATATAGGTTCATCACATATCATTTTTTATATCATTTAATGCAAGCATACACTTATCAAACATCACATACCTTTGAATTTCACTTGTTGTTAAGACATGACTTACATATGCTTAATCAATCATCTTAACTTAAATAGTTAAAGTAAACCTTTGCTTTGATACCACTCTATAGCACCCTCGACTTAGGACCTAGATAGGTTGAGGTATTACCGCATTGACCTATATTCGATGTGAAATGGATGTAAGCTAAGAAGCTTAATCTCTTTAACATTTCTAGTTTGTTAACGAAGTGGGCATTTACTACATTAGGTCCCTACAAAGTATGAGGTACTAGGTCCTTTTAAACATAATTTGGATATAAATTTTTTCTCCTTAACTTTAAGTTCGATTAAGCCTACATTAGTTTTTTTTAAGCCTTTGCTAGTTTCATTTAAACTTCCTCTAATAATTTAGCCATTTCATTTTCTTTTACTCTTACCCTTAACATTCCCACCTAATTCCTTACTTGTCATTTTGATTTGCAATCATTTTCATAATCATATTAGTTATATCATCTTAGCCATATTAGTCGTTTAAAACATCTAAGTTCTATGGCTACCATGCTTGACACATCTATAACTTAAAAGTTAAATAACCTTTTCATTTATACCAAAACAACTTTTGTTTAATTTGCTTACATATATACCCAAAATTGCCTACTTACTATACATCATAAATCAAGTTAAGCTATACAACATTGCCATACTTACTAACCTAAAGCCATAGGACACAAAATAGGCAAGTCCATCACTTATTTTGGTACCAACCCTTCATTTATCTTTTTCATTTCCTACATCATAAGAAAACAATGGTGAGTAAAAGAATGCTCGGTAAGTATAACTTATGCAATGCATGTGATGTTCCTCATGCATGAATGTACATGATGCAACTTTCATAAAATCCTTTTCATGCCTTTGAAAACCATTTTCCTTTACATGCTACGAGTATACACTAGATCATTCCCTTGGCATGTCTTCACTTCCTTTTACATACTAAGAGTATACACCGGATCATTCCTTTGGCATGTCTTCCTTTCCTTTTACACACAAAGAGTGTAAACCGGATCATTCCCTTAGTGTGTCTTTACATGTCAAGAGTATACACTAGATCATTCTCTTGACATATTTGCATATTAAGAGTGTACATCGGATCATTCCCTTAGCATGTCCTCCTTCCTTTCCATGTTAAGAGTATACACCGGATCATTCCCTTAGCATGCCTTTTTCTCCTCAAGAGAGGGTGATTAAACCTCTCTTAACCTCAAAGAGGTACCAAGACATTTTCTTTAAAAACCTTTCCTTTTCATTTACTTTCATTACATCAAATCATGAACATAAAACCATTTTTATGATCATGATGTACATAGCATATGCATTTGAATGAAATGCATTGCAATAAACATGACCATGGCATGCATTACCATTATGCCTCAAGAATATTTATAAAAATTATAAATCATTCATATGTTTTAACAATCAAGTTTGCATGCCATATGATACATACCAAATACAATCCATGAACATCCAAAATATCATGTCAAAGCCAAACAATCGAGCATCATAATTAATAAATTTCCATATAAAAATAATCATTTCTTTTCCTCTTAATCCGCTAAACCTCATATTTTCATTTGCCTTTTTGTCCTTGTTTTTCATGTTGAGCCAAATTTGAGCTAAGTGAAGGACAACCTTTGTTCTTTCTATCTAGCCTTAGGAATGTCTCTAAGACATTTTATCAAACATATGATAGGCTTTGGGCAAGGCAACTACCAATCTATATCTACTTAAGGGATTCTTCATCCAACTTATTCTCGAATAAGGACAACATTCAAACACAAGACTTATTTGATCCAATCATCCAAACATCATAATTAACATATCCTCGATACATAAGCATCATCAATAGATTGCAATTCAATCAATAACACACAATTCTCAATAACATACTTATTAATTTGTTGTTATGTAAACTACCAATTAACCTTAAATCACACCTCCAAACATAAATTCTTATGGTGCGAGTGAGGAGTTACACTTACCTCACTTAGAATCTTAGCCTTCTTGTCCTTTTCCTCTTTGGTTCATTCCTTCCTCTTCCTTTTAAGAATTTCGACCAAATAGGGAATTTTTTCCCTTTTCCTTACTTGATCTTCTAAGATGGCTTGGAAGCTAATTTAGATTTTTTCTAAGTGGATTAAAGTGATTAGGAGTGATGGTTTTGGGTGGTTAAGGATTCTCTCTTTTTGCTAATATTTTCTTTCCTTTCTCCCCTTTCTTTCCCTTTTTCTCTCTCCTTATTTTTCCCCTTTAAAATCTGGACATCCATATTTTTCTATCATTTTTTGTCCCTTAAATTCAACTAGGGGTCCCTCACATTACGTGACACTTTACACCTTAGTCCTCCAAAATTCAATCCTTGTAATTTGATCATACAATTTCGATCCGTAACTTCACCTTTTTCATCTATTTGGCCCTCATCTAAGCCAATCCTAAAGTTAATTCAAGTCCTTAAGGTTTCATAATCATTCATGTAAGGGCCTTGACACTTAATCGCTACGTTATACCCTTATATTTTGTAATTGCACCCCTATGGCAATGCATAACCATATCAATTTAGTGGTACCATTGTCTAATTCAAGCTTCCCTCATTTCATAAACTATCTCATAAATTTTACTTATGCTTCTTTTATTATTAATTGAACTTTAAACTTACTTACTCATTAAATAATTACACTTTTTATTAATTGAAAAAAATATCTATACACCATAATTATATTTTTAAGAGGGTTTTAGGTCACAAATATTACACTAGCCGTGTATAAGGTAGCAATGTGAAGTGACCAATCGATAATGATTATTTGGTGATGATTTGTCATTCTAAGGTTTGTGATCTTGCATTTTGTAGAGTTAGAGACATTAGTTGGACTAATTGAAGAAGGAAAGGAAAACATGAGGAGTTTATAAAACTTGCTTACTCCGAAAAATAAAATAACTTGATTGTGTTTTCGGATAGTCATCTAAAAATTATGTAAAACTATTTGATGATTCAACCATCTTTATACCATGAAACACGATAATCAATTTTAATTCCTAATATTTCTAACAATCAAAGTAAAAAATTCTAATTCTTTATTTATCTTAATTTATGATGAATTTATTTATTTATTATGCGAGTTTTTATTATTAATTGTGTTTTTTTTTTATGTGCTAGAAACAACAATTATATTTTTAAATAAAATAGAAAATAGAAGTGGTGAAACTTAAACTCTTGACTTTTAGGATAACAAGGCTCTCATATTATATCAAATTACAATCTCAATCTAAAAATTTAAGTTATTAAGTGAGGTGTAAGATATGATTTATGGTATTATCGATATGATTATATTAATGTCGGCACTCTCTTATATCAAAACCCTTCCCGATATTAAATTGATACATTCCTTCGGTACTCAAAAACATGTTAGTTTTCATGAGAGCAATCGGATTATTGGAGAGAAATCCATTAATTGTCCCGAGGAAATGAGCGAGCTAGCTATGCATAAGGTAGCAATGTGAAGTGCACCAATTGATAATGATTATTTGGTGATGATTTATCATTTTGAGGCACGTGATCTTGCATTTTGTAGAGTTGGAGACACTTATTAGACTAACTAAAAGAGAAAAGGAAAACGTGAGGAGTTCATGAAAAATGTGACCTAGCTATATGATATGATTTATGTTATTGTCGATATGATTTATATTATTGTTAGCACTCTCTTCTATCAAAACCCTTCTTGATATTAAATTGATGCATTCCTTCGGTACTCTAAAGCATGTTAGTTTTCACAAGAGCAATTGGATTATCGAAGAGAAATCCATTAATTGTCTCGAGGTAATGAGCTAGCTAGCTATGTATAAGGTAGCAATGTGAACTGCACTGAACTGATAATGATTATTTGGTAATGATTTGTCATTTTTAGGCATGTGATCTTGCATTTTGTAGAGTTGGAGACACTAGTTGGATTAACTAAAAGAGGAAAGGAAAATGTGAGGAGTTCATAGAACTTATTTACTCATAAAAAAGAAAACAATCCGATTGTGTTTCGAGATTGTCATCTAACAATTATATAAAACTATTTGATGGTTCGATCATGTTTATACTATGAAATATGATAATATGATTTTAATCTTTAATATTTCTAATAATCAAAGTAAAAAATTCTAATTCTTTATTCATCTTCACTTATGATGAATTTATTTATTTATTCTGTGAATTTTTATTATTTAATTATGTTTCTTTTTATGTGCTTAGAACAATAATTATATTTTTAAATAAAAGAGAAAACGAAGTGGTGAAACTCAAATTCGACTATCGGTGTAACAAGACTCTTATTCCATATCAAAAGCAATCTCAATCTAAAAATTTAAGTCATTAAGTAAGGTGCAAGATACTAGTTATATTATTGTCAGCACTCCCTCCTATCGAAACCCTTTCTGATATTGAATTGACATATTCCTTCAGTACCAAAAGCATTTTAGTTTTTACGAGAACAATCAGATTACCAGAGGGAAATCCATTAATCGTCCCGAGGAAATGAGTGAGCTAGCTGTGCATAAGGTAGCATTGTGATGTGCACCAACTGGTAATGATTATTTGGTGATGATTTGTCATTCTGAGATACGTTATCTTGCATTTTGCAGAGTTGGAGACACTAGTTCGACTAACTGAAGGAGGAAAGGAAAACGTGAGGAGTTCACGACGGAACTTGTTTACTCTAAAAAAGACAAGCTTTTCTATGCTCTTACTAATTGCGGTCACATACATTAAAGCTTTTGATCTTCACGATCCTTATTATCCGAGATGATTTGGTACTCCAAGTATTGATTATGCTCGCGATTGCACTGAATTTGAAGGAAAAAAATCTTTAAGAAAGCTTTGTACCATCGTATATACTTGGTAGAACACCGGAAGGCCAAAGTCTATCAGTGTCTAGGTATTTTCTTAGCATAGGTGAAGATGGGTGTGTTGTAGATGACGAGGAATGAGGATACCTATTTTGAGCGGTCTTATAGGTCTGGATATTTTCACGTTTACAAGTTGAATTTTGAGAAGCAAACAGAGGTTGGTGTTGATTTAGATGGCACGGCTTTGTTTGTGGGTAACAATGAGTGATTCTCTGTTTCAAGTACATGACTATCCGGGGTTCAACCCTAATTCTATTTATTTTTGCTGGTGATTTGGATAGAATTCTCTGGGATGAAGGATATATATAAACGGGCATGTCATGACATTGGTGTCTGTAATCTAAAGGACAAAAGTGTCTCTCCGCTCTATGAACCTTTTGAATTCAAGAAGATTTTGCCAACTCCAACGTGGGCTTGCAGGCCATAGTAATTAGTGGCAGATTCTTAGCTACAGGTAAATATCATCTGTTCAAGTTGTTGTGGTCTTTTAGGTGATTCGAGTTGGATTCCTCTGTTACTATTATATGCAGCAAATAATTTTAGGTATGATTTTTTTAATGAGTTGTTTCAATGCTTGTGTTTTTATATGTTGTTTCTAGACGTTTCTGTCTTAATTAGATTTTGAATGTTCGGAAGATTATTACCTCAATGCCTTTTAATACTCTTTGTTTCCAGTTTTGCGCTGCTACTGTTCTGAATCAGCATGTGATGAAAACACATTTTTGGGTGCACTCCTTGCCTTAGCTAATTTTTTGGGTTTTAAATCCAAAAAAAACTCAAATGTACTCTTCTTAATTTTTTTACTATTTGAAAAATTTTGTAATATTCAAAAAATAACAGTGTTTGCTTTAAAAAACGGTCGTTGCATTTATATAACGGTATCGAGACACATTGTTATCGTTATTCGACGTTACGAGTGTCCTAACGTCGTTTCACACAAATAACGATAAATAATGGTATTATTGTTTTGTAACATCATTATTTGACATCATTTAACAACATTAAAAAAAAAAAATAGAATTTCAGTCATTTCAACTGCTAAAATTTAGGCAGTGATAAGAGGCAAGGTAGAGAGGATTAGAGGCTTAAAGGCAAAGAAGAGAGGTAGGCAATAGGTGGAGACGTGAGATTAAAGGTCGAGAGACGGGAAGTTTTAGGTGATATCAGATGAGAGGAAAGAGGAACTTGGAAAGAAGAGAGGAGAGAGAGAGAGTTTTGGGTGATATCAGATGATAGAAGAGAGAGGAAATTGAAAAAAAAAAAAAAACTCTTTTATTTTGAAAAGGAAGAGACCACGTGAATGATTTAATATCAAATACCTGGATTTGCAGCTTTTGATGGAATAAATTATAAATTAGTCCTCTTATTTTGAAGCAATAATTTACTTAGTCCTTCTATTTTAAAAACCGAGTAATATGTTTATTTTGTTCATTTATATTTATATTTAAAAAAATAGAAAAAGAAAAAAATAAATTTATACCATGAAAAAGATTAATGAAAAAATATTTTATAGAATAAAATATTATACATTAAATATGATCAATACTGATTAAAAGATTAAATAATTAATTTTTTAAACATTAAAAGCTAATTAATTCATTTATCAAAACTAGAAAGGCTAATGTATGATTTAATCTTTTATTATTCTATTTTGACTTGTCTTGCATGCACAAATTCAAAAACCATAAAACAAATGCTACTCGATTGAATAAATTATAAATTAGTCTTTTTAGTTTGAAAAAAATTAAATTAAGTGGTTTTTATTGTTTTAAAAACTTATTATTATTATTTCAATTTTATGTTATTTTTTAATTTGTATTTCAAAACTAGTTATGATTGTAATTTTGATGGACAAAAATCACAACATCAATAATAAAATGATAACTATTATTGTGATTCCCCACAAGAATCATTTTAAAGATGAATATTTTGTAATGTGTTTATTGAAATTGTAATGTATTTTATTATTTTTTATGATATTTATTTATTAGAAGTGCTATTAATTATTATTTTTTGTAGTAATTTCAACTACTATTATATGATATTAAACTATTGAAAATATTATTACTTATTAGTAGGTTTAATTAATAAAATTGTTAAAAATATATAAATTAAAATAAACTTATTAACGAGTTGCTAATGCATTCACAACATCGATTGTTGTGACCTTTATTTTACTATAGCAATAAATCACAATCTACAATCACGATCATGATCGATTTTTCAACTACGATCACTATTTAAAATTACAATAACAATACATGTACGAATCCTACTCCGGTGTCACTAGCACGACTTGAGCTACTCTTTCGAGAAATAACTCCGTATAGAATAATGAGAATTAAGAGGTGGGAGGTGTTGTGATGTGCCCAAAAGTGTAATAGAAATTAATAGGAAAATTACTCGCAAGTGCACGAGGTGATTACGATACGGTTGAGTTAACCAAGGTCGTATTCTCGAGGAGATGTAATTGGCGTAAAATAATTCAATTCCAATTGCAAATAATGACAATAAAATAAAATCCTAAACACTCTAAACCAGTTTGTGTTTGATGATTATGAATTAAATTGAGAACGTAAAACTACGGAGTAATCGTAACGAACTGGAAATAAAGATCAAAGTGAGAGAATTCTTGAGAATATAACTTCACCGATTAAATCCTATATTTAATCAAAATAACTTAAATGATTATTCATGTAAATCTCTTCACTAAGTAACTTGGATCTCTCATTCATAACCTAGTGTCTATTATTCTTTAGTCTAACATTGAGTTATATTTGATCAATATCAACCTAATATCATAGATATATAATTATTGGCCGAGACATTTATATATAAATAATCCCAAAATCATAGATGCAAGACAAGAATAATCAAATTAACCATTCAATTAAACATATTCAAATAACGGATCCATTAATTCTCAAGACAGAAACTAGTTCATAGTTGACGGATAAACATTCACTAAATTAATCACAATAAATTCCATGTCTTCACAATCAAGAATTGAAAGCAATAAAATCGAGTTTAGGAAGAAATCTGGTTTGCCTTTCTTCGTAATTTGAAGTTGATCTCTTTCTAGCTTCGGCACCCGTTTTCCCCGACTCCTCTCTGTCTTCAATGGCTATCTATAGAGAACAAAGGCTACTGGAACTCTATTCTCTCGTTTTTTGTCATGCTCTCTTTTGGTCCCGCGTGGTATTTTAAATTAGAGAGACCTACAAAATATCCTTCTTCAAATCCTCCTCAATATCTTCATTTTCCTCTTTATGCGTCGCTCCTTAAACATTAATCCCCGAAAATTTGCTCACTGAAAATTTGCTCACGGTCGTGGGCTTTTCTTCCTTTTGGAACTCACGATCATGGGCTTTCTTTCCTTTTTCAGCTCACGGGTGTGGGCCTTTTTCCTCTTTTGAAACTCACGGCTATGAGCTTCCTTCTTGCTGGATCACGACCATGAGGCCTTCTTCACTTTGGGGAGTCACGGTCGTGACTCTTTTGCTTTTGCTAAGTCACGGCCATGACTCAAAAAGTCATGGCCGTGACATTCTCAATCCTTTAATTTTTTTCTTTGAACCTAATTCAAACATAAATCGGATAAACACTCACAATATATTAAAAAATACTAAAAATAACAATATTGATAAACTAAAAATAATAAACAAATCACATAAAAACTTACTAAAAACCTAGAATTATTTTATAAAATTTAATATAAAAACTATTAAAATAATATATAAACAATAAACACAACAAAATTCCCCACACTTAAACATTGCTTGCCCTCAAGCAAAGAGACAATAAAGAGCAAAGGCTACACACATAAATATACATACTTCTCATATAAAGCGAAAAGAATCCTCTAATCTTGGCATAAATAAAAATGAACTTCAAGTACAATAAAACGTCATGAATGAACAATCAATACAAACTCAAACTCTAGAAATAAAACCGTTCAACTCACGGAGCAATCAATTATCCGTACAAGAAAGTCACTCATCTCGTAGTTCACTCAAGTGTTTAAGGGATAATGAAATTTCACTTAACGTTCAATTTATGTGAAAATGCTACCATATGCTTGCTTATTCATCCAATCACTACCACTTGTTGTAACTTACATGTAAAAATCGAAGGTCTTTATTCGGGGTTGTAATGAGGTCTAGGCTAAAGGTATGAAATTTAGGAAAGACGAACTAAACCAAGAACTAACAAAGCAATTAAAATTTTTAAAAATAAATTTATTCCCAATGATGCATAATTCCCTCTAGATCGTGGGTCCTCTGCAAAGTTTTTTTTTTTAAATAGAGGTAACTAGCTTGCTTTTATCCTCCATCTCCACTCAACCACTTTGATTCTTACTTATAACCATAGTTTAACTTTTAGATTTCTTCACATTTTCCCAAACTTTGTTATGTGCATATTTTTCCAAACACAACTAAACCATATTTCAATTGCTCCATTAGCCCTACGGTAGGTCAAACGGATAATTTAAGAAAAAGGTTAAGGCTAATATTTGGGTCTTCGAGAGAAAAGGATTTATCAAGCTCAAAGAGGTTCTCTAAAGGTTAAAATAAGGTTAGCTTTTTAAGTCAAGTGGTTAATTCCTAATGTGCCTTCATCATATTTAAGCATGCATGTGAACAGTTTATTTATCTTTTGAAAGATATTTATAAGCAAGTTCTAGAGCATCCTAAGCATAAACGAACTCTCTCTTACAAGCAACTAGAGATTGTTAAAATACAATAAAAAGATATGGCTCAAAAGCTCACAATTGATTTTTTTTCTAGTACAAGAAATTGATGCTCATAGAATTAAAAGTCAAAGCTCTAAAAGTTTAAGCATGCAAGACATTCATTCAATTATTTTATTTTTCTCAATTTTATTTATCACAAGTCCTAAGGAACTTAACATTATATATAGGAAGTACGAACAAAATGAGAGCAACCAACAAAGAAATTTTTTATTATTATTATTATTATTTTAATTATAATACCCTCCCCATACATAAAAACACACATTTTCCTCAGTGTAAGCAATAAATAAGAAGCAGAAAGGAAAAGCATAACTCCCTTGAAATTGATGAGCTTCAAGACGGAGGCGGTTGTTGTGAAGGGTCGGGAAAGTACGGGCCAAGGAGAGCATCCAAGTTGGCCATGAAAGTTTGTAGTTGGTCCATATCGATTTCCAAGTGTTGAAATCGAGAATCCA